ATACCACAGCGATATATGTGCACTCATGTTTATAGCGGCAGTTTGTAATAGGTAAAGCTTGGAAACAGCCCAAGTGCCCATCAACTGGAAACTGGATAAAGAAGATGTGTTTTTTTTAATAAAATGGAGTACTACTCAGCCATAAAGAATGAGAAACTTGAGACACCTTTAGCTAAATGGATGCATATTGAGGCCATACTCATATGTGAAATATAGGACACCCATGTGTAAATACCGAATAGTTTCTCTAGTGTGAGAAACTGAGAGTGTAAATAAGAATTAAAATGATTAAAATGAATAACTGATAATTTGAAATAGGAAGAGGTCCAAAGGGGTACGAGTGGTGTTAGGGGAAGGGGAAAGGAAAAATCATGAGAAAAGAAAAAAAATGGAAACAAAGTCTTTGTAAATAGGGAAGGGTGGAGGGGGTGAAGGGCACACAGGTAATGGGGGAAAAAATAAGAACCAAGATACATTATGTACAGGTAGAAGCACCCAATGATAAAATGTACTAATAAAAGAATTTATAGCAAAACCCCCCCCAAAACATCGCTGTATGTCCTCATCCACTTTATTTACCAGATCTGTCATTGTGTAACTTCTCACTCTTCCCCAAAGTCATGACAGTGCAACTAAAGGTATTTATAAAGGGAGACTTCCAGAACTGCTTCAGCAAGTGGCAAGAATGATGCAGTAAATATTTCAAAGTGGGTGTGGGGCAGGGCGCGGGGATGGTACTTTGAGAGGGATTAATGGGAATGTCCTTTAATAAATTTTTTAATTTAAACAATATATATATATATATACACACACACACACACACACCACACTGCATATGTGCAAAGATATCATTCAAAGCTAACAAGGTGGCACTGAATAAGACAAGAAGTTATGCCCCGTTTGTTAAGAGTATAAAATTCTGTTGTGGCATGTATTTCCACAAATATATCTCTAAAAAATGTATTTTTGAACCAGTAAGCCCATATCTAAAAAGCCATTCTAAGGAAACAATAAAAGATAAAGACAAATATTTACATATAATCTTATTCTTCAAGCACTGAATATTTGTAAATAAATGCTGAAACAGGGACATGGTTATCAAATATTAAATATCCAAATGACTGAAAATTATATTGTCATTTAAAAGCATATTTATTAAGAATTCATAGTAGGGGCTGGGGATTTAGCTCAGTGGTTTTGCTGCCTGCTGTGCAAGCACAAGGACCCAGAGTTCAATCTCTGGTACCAAAAACAACAAAAAAAAGAATTCATAGTAGCTCAGGAAAATGCTCACAAAATGATGATAAAATTGTTATTATAATTCCTTTAAAGTTTTTTTTATTATAAGAAAATACACCAAAGTATGTCTGGGTAATGAAAAGGTAGTGAGGTGGGATAGAGTAATAAAAAATAGGTAAAAAAGACAAGGAAATTGAGATTTTAAAATTAAGAACTACAGCTTGAAGACATGCCATTGTTCCTTCTAGGAAACTCACTCAAAAAAAATGTTTTTCCCCCTAAAGGTTCTTTTACAATACTCTGTAAATTCCAGGCACTAGACCTGTCCTTTTCACCTACAAATTGTCCTTTCTCCACCCCTAAAAGCAACAACATTGGCAGGAAGCATAGCTCAAGTTCAAATACCTACTGCACCTGTACTGTAGTGAAAATACACACCCTAGATTGCCCATCTTGAAGACATCCCTTAAATGTACCCCACTCCAGCTTGTAACATGTTCTCACTTCTCTGAACATCCACATTCCTGAGTGTACCCCAATAAACCCCTCATGTGTTTTTATTGGCATGTCTTAAAAATTCTTTTTCCTTGAGGAGAGTCAGCAAACCTACATACTCATTTTAAAAGAGCGCGATGCGTTCATTATTTCAGCCTTGGGGACTTCACAGTCCCAACCCAGTGACAGTAGTGCACTACAAATTTGGTTTTATTCTTCTATTTTCTACAAAGAACATGTATTGCTAAAATAGAATAACATTAAATAAAAGATTTACCAAAAACTAACATCTTTCAAAAAGTAGCAATTTACCTGACAGTTTTGTTACTGTTTTTCTCAGTATATTGAAAACCATTTTGTTAAAGCTACTGTAAAGCAAAGTTGCATAAAATAATGGGCAATAAACTCAAATGCTGTCAAGGGTCAGTTTATTGAGGATTCTGTGATACTATATATTAATTCTATTCACTTGATTACTTTTCACTATGTTAGTCGCCAAAGGTCACAGACATGAAATTACAATTACTTTCCCATATTTTGTTCAGAAACACAAAAATCAAATCCAAAGTAATGTTCAAAGGAATCTGAAAACTCTCCCTGCCCTCATAAGATGGTGATTAAGGTCAGGAAGTATAGCCATACAGAGGAGGGGTGAAATGGAGCATGTAAAAAGCAAAGCGGTTTTTTAAAGTTCTTTTTTTTTTTTGGCTTTATTAACTTTATTTTCAAATCTTTTCAAATTTCTTTTTATTTTTTACACCAAAAAAGGCATCAATACTTTTCATTCCAGTCTTGTCAACTTTAGCCAAAGCTTTCTGAGCTGCAGTCATTTTGCAATTTTTCTGTTAATGAAAATAAGAGAAAATTGTTATGAATGTATCACTTGTAAATCATATATACAAATCAGACAAGACTGCATGTCTCATGGTTCATTAAGGGAAGTAAATGTCTGCTACTATCGTGGTTCATAAAGGAGTGAAAAAAGTTCTGATATCTATTCAGAATTCAGACTTCAGAGACAAAAAACTGCCACCTTCTAAGGAGGGGAATGTTATAACCAATGGTTTACTTTAGGGGAGTAATTCTGGTGGGGCATTAAGTGTAATAACACAAACAATGCAACTGACATAGGCAGCAATTGTCAGAAGGAGAATTACAGCCTTGTATTACCACATGATGAATAATTCACACCAATTTACCATCTGATTTTATTCATTTGCTCTATGTGAAACCAAAGACAACCCTATTATATTGAAAGGATGACTTAGACTAGAAGTATAGCTGTGCCATTTTTCCTTTAACAAAGAAATATTTTCCAAAAAGCTGACTCCAAATATCTCTGCTCTGTAAATTTCTATCTTTTCTTGGTCACTGTATTTTTTAATGTCCTTTAAAAGTACTAAAAGATGGTAAATAGCAGCTGATTTTATTTCAATGCATCTGTTCAGAAGAAGCGTAACTGATGGGAATCAGGAAAGAAACAAAACAAAGCAAAACACGTCGGTCTCCCTGGAAATAGGGCAAGTTCATTGCCCAAGTATTTTTTAAGGGTACAGTATATGATTCCTGTAATGTTGCTTCTCACATTGTTACTTGTAACTTAAGAGGCCTTACTTCCAACTGGATGGTAAAAAGAAACAGTTTTATTACAGACAAATTGTCCTGTGCATTTAACTGCCACCCTGGTCCAACTTTCTTCTCACACTGGTGTTATGCCCAGATGATACATTAAGAAGTAGCATTTCTACTGTAGATGGAACAAAAAGATTTTTCCCAGAGAAATTAAAAATGTCTCTGTTTACACAGAGCGTTGAATTAGCTATTAAGCAAATAGTAAATCAGATTACCCTCTGATGTCATGTGCCCAATAAATTACATCCAGACAAAAGAATAAAGTTTATATAAAAAATTAAACTCAAGAGAGACTACATATTATTAAAATCTATGTGGAAGTTAACTTTTCCTGGCATGTGAAACCAAAGACAACCCTACTATACTCAAAAGGTGACTTAGAGTAGAAGGATAGCTGTGCCATAAAGATCTAAGCATAAAGACAATGGGAAAATCATTAAAAAAATTTCTATATTTAACCTCATAAAAAATTTAAAACTATTAAAACTACTAAATGAAAAAGTGAAAATATACTGGAAAATAATTTATACACTGTGTCACGAAAAAATGTTAATGGCATTAATTTAAAATATGTTCATATAAATCAACAATAACAATAACAACCACAAAACATTGCTATCGCAACAATTTGTAAAATTTAAATGGGCAAAAAGCAATTGAAAAGGTAAACTCTTCTAACTGAAGAAATGCAGTCTAACTTGACAGGCAAAATTTTCCAAGAATAAAATAATATTTAATGTTGTCAAGAATCCAAGACGAAACTCACTGGCAATGTTTGGGAGTATAAATTTCTGCTGTGGTTTTGGAAATATATACATATATATATATATATATATTAATATATATATTATAGAAATTTATTATGAAAGAGTTCATGTTCTCTAAGCTCTTACTACTACTGGTGTCTAATGAAATAATCAGAGGTATAAATTATAAATAAGAAATTCTATCAGTTTCTTAAAAACAAAAATAAAAAATATCAGAAGTAACTTCAGTGTCCAAAAACAGGAGACTGATTAAATTATATTCTGTACGATGGAAAAAATGGCACACAGTGGGACATCACAAAACTATGATAGTATTTAAAAGAATGTTTAATGACATGTGAACATTTTTATAAAACTGAAAGAAAAAGGTAGAAACAAAAAATATTTTAAGTATTATAATACAAATTTTAAAAGCTGCCTATTATTTATAATTCATATATAAGATAAAACTAAAAAATATTAAGAAAATAACATTTGCAGGATGAAGACTGAATGGTGGAATTATCAATAATTTTTGCTATTATCATAATTTCTTGGAAGCTTCTGGGTATTAGGGTTGGCCAAAAACTATTGGAAGCAGCTCTTTTCCCTTCCACCCATCACTCTAAGAATATGCAGCAAAGTTTGGGTACACTCCTGCTAGGCAGTCTTTTTTTTTTTTTTTTTTTTGTAAAAACCACAATGGTTTGACATTTTCGATGTCCAGCACAATCCTGAACAAATTATTAAGCTGTAGAAATGCAAGTGTTAATTATTTTTCATGCTCAAAACTCCAATCACAATTAAGTGTGCAACTGTTCCTGGATGTACACATGCACTACACCCACTGAGGATTTACAATACTCTACTACATCTGGTCACACGTACCTTTTCAGTCTTCAGATCTTTAGTGTTAAACTTAGTGTAGTCTTCTTTTGCTTCTACTGGCTCATCTGACATCTTTAGTCTCTGCAATGTTAGAGTAGTAAAATGCAGTCAAATTCCTCCCTGCCACTTATGTCAATCCATTTTTTTAAAATGTGTAATTTGGACCCACACAAAGGCCAATAATTTTTAAAAACTCCTCTACATTTGACAACTACCTAGTAAACTAAGTAAGGCACAGGTCACTTTCAAGAAGCCTTGGTTATGGTGGGAAATGACTGGTAGCTGGTATATAACTCAAGTTTCTCAGTCCCTCAAAAATACAAACCCACTCTGTATGTACCATGTGCAGTGGGCATCTCGATGGCTGCAGACTTCAAGGACATTCTAGGGGCTAAAGGCAAGACACAGGAGTCGAAGATGAGAATTCCCTTGAAGGGAGCCATGTATTCAGCCATACCTCCACTCCATTCACATCCCAGGATGGTTTAATGTCTACTAATGGAAACGGGCAGTATTATCCTATTATCACCATCTTTGTGTAGTGTATACCTTTTCTTCCTTTCAGTTTAGCTGTCTCCTTTTATCCACATACTTGTGGAGCTGGCAGTCTGCAGAAGAGGAAGCACAGAGAGGTGACAGAAATAGCTACAGTCACCTACTGGAGGACTTGGGATGAGGTATCAATTCTTACATAGGTGTTCTTTCCATTAGGCCCGAGGCAACTAAGTTGAACCTTCATGGAACATTATTACTTAGTTCACATGAGCATTTTGTACCAAGGCATGTGAGAATCCCAAGAGTTGGACTGTGGTCTTAATGATCATATCATAGAAGAAATCATGCCACATTCATGTAAAAGGAACAAAGCAGGACAGAGGAGTCTTATTGCTGGGCGTGGAGACTGAGTGCATAGTAAGCACTGAGTAGTGATGCCAACTCAGATTTTTATAGGTCTTCACACTCTTTTTGCAGACACGAAGTTGACAAGAGCCAACATGGGTGTCCCTAGGGAACACATTGTGCCTAGCTTCACTCTTCACAACCCTGCCTTTGCTAAACAAAGTCCTGGTAAAGTTGGTGCTAATAGATCTTACAGGTAACATAGCACAAGGGTGTAAAAGTAAAACTACATAAAATGTTTGAAATCCTTTGCAGTAAAAACCAGAGGAGAATCCTGGAAACCTATCACATACTGTGGAAAAACCTTTTAGCTACACAGCAAGCTCTAGCAAATAAATCAACAAAAGCAAGACTAGCTTACTACATATGAACCAGCACAGAGTAAATAATGCAACTTTCTCAAGAATTATGTTTCTTTTAAATTAAGACAGAAAAGAGTGGCTAAGGGATACATATTTTTACAAGAAAGGTATCTTCAGCCAGAAGTAGAACTCACAGCCTATCATGCTAAAGGCTATAATATTTCAAAAGTCAAAGAGAAGCCAGGAAGGGATCTGTGTTTCTCCTCTGTGGCAAAATGTTTCTCCAACAGATGTCACTGTAAACACTTGGACATTGTTTACTTCACTGATAATTTAGATTTTAAAATGTTATTGCTATGTAGAGATAAATGGGACACCCTAGGTAGGGTCAGAAAAGAGATAAGGGCTCTTTCCAGCTTAACAGAAAAACCTCTGCAGTGTTCAAGAATGTAAACAACAGGCAGTCTTACTTTTGTAACATTGTCCACCCTAATTATTGCAATTTATACCCAAGTTCCTGTATCAGCCTACCAACAAAAAACCCCCAACCAATCAGGTGGGGCTACCCCAGAGGGAGGTACCAACACCTCAATCCCCTAAGAGCAAAACTGCTACTCCATACTCAGTGATCACCCAGCTCTGAGGCCCCTATTCCTCAAAGTGGTTTTGTATCTCTTCTGCTAATAAAACTATACTCTCTCTTTGCATTGGCTTCTGACTCCTCTTCCTCTTTCTACACTGGAGACAAATTTTTCCAGGCTTCGAAAAATACTGTAGTGGGCTGGTAACTCCAGACCCACCGAGATACTTGACATAGTTTGGTGGCTCATCCAGGATTGACGAAGGCTACCTGATAAAGTCAGTATAATCCAGCCTAAATGGAAGTGAATGCCAGAGGACACTGTCCTCTTTTCAGCTTGCTTTGCAGAGATTCTTCCTGCCTCCCAATCTTGCACAGTGCAAATTTTGGCTGGGGCCCTTCAGTGATATAGGATCCTGCTCGAGGGAGAGTCCATCCTCATACAGCTAAATGGCAGTGTGCAGGGACTTGGCACCTCATATAGCTTTCTGGTGGTCTGAAGAAAGCTGGCAGGAATCAGTACCTCATATGGCTTATAAAGTGGTCCGCAGAAAGTTGGTGGCTAGAACACCTTCCATCTTGTGGTCTGCACTTGGTTGGGATATACTGATCCACCTAATGCCAAGAGGACTGACCATGTTTTCCATTTTCTGGTCTTAATTTTAATACCATCCTCTAGTTAAAATGATTTTGTGAGAGGGAAAATGGAGTGAGGTGCCATATCTGCAACTCTTCTTTATTCTCCAGGATCATCCTGATTGGGCTTCTAAGTGCTCTTTAGATCCTTCACTCTTGGGGGCCCTGGCTCCCTGTTCTTTCTTGCCCAGAAAGTGTGAACTCCAGGAGGATCAAGACCTGGCCCTGCCGTATCTGCAAGCCAGGCCACCAGTATGGATGGCCTCACCAGAGAGGATACTGCCTTTCTGCTCTAATTTAAGTGAAACAGCAAATTTTCCGTTTAACTGACATAGCTCCTAACTGTTAGTCTGGGAGGATGAAACGCACACCAGGAGCCACAGAGACAACGCGAAAGTAAAGCTTTACTTAATGCCGGAACCAGTCTTCGTTAGCACGCAAGACACACTGGCCCCATCCGGCGCTCAGCAAAGGAGGATATTCTCTTTGGGAGGCATGGGGTTACAGGCAAGGCACATTTGGCATTCATTCATTGGTTACAGAGTTTGAATATGTATTAGCAGGCGGGCTCAACCTTGGTGTGGGCTCATACATGATACTAGTAGCAAGCTTATTGAGTAATTTAAAAAATGAGGTTAGTATTTCATTTATATTCTGGAGGAAATGACAAAACTACTTTAGAGACAAAAACATTCCTGAGATGCACAAGTTGGCTCGGACACGTCCAGACATATGAGGCAGGATAGGCCTGGACATGTTGAACAAAGAAAATTTCAAGTAGGGAATTTCCCCATAGTAAGTCCAGCTTGAATGATGGAGGCAAAATTCCCCTTTTATAAGGGGTGAACCAGAACAGGTCCCTTTCACTTATTTGGAGTTGGGGGAAATTAAGTGAGACCTGGGTAGTTTCACAGATGATCCTGATGGCGATATCAGCCTTTGAAAGAGTAACTTTCCTGTTTAGACTGACCTGGGAAGATGTGACCTTCTCAGTGAGACCTCAATCAGTGAAAAAGGGAAAGAGGTTTGGGGCTCTGCCATCTGGGCTGGAAATGCTTACTATGAGGCACATTAGGGAGCTTAAAAAGGAGAAGGAAAACCAAGGGTTTATGTCCCCCACTGGAATCAAGGTAGTCCCTACAAATAAGCCACAATGGGATGATGGGACTCCACTAGGAGAGGTGGCACACCTTTATTTCTTTTATTATATTAAAGAAGGACTAAAGGGACCAAGGGTCAAGCCTGTTAATTACACAAAACTGGGACAAATCTACCAAGAGGAAAAAGAACTCGTTCCCCACTGTGTTCTCACAATGATTAAAGGATGCAATGACCAAGTACACCTTGATTAATCCTTACAGTATGGCTGGAGAAATCCTTATCAAGGATAATTCCTGACTCAATCAGCCCCTGATATTCAGGGAAAGCTCTTGAAGTTGGTGGTGAATCCTGAACAAGGTCATGTGGGGCTAGATGGCCTGCTTAGAGACCCCTAAGAGCTTCTACAACAGAGGCTGAGAGGCATAACAGGAAAAGTTATGGACTTCAATGGGGATTCAACACAAGTCTTGCAGACCCCGTCCACTTGTCATCATGGCAAACACTGGGATGATGACTGCCTCAAGAGAGGCATGAGTCCTCTTAGTTATGGCCACCTGGGCCATTTACTTAGGTCTCCCTTTACTCTAGTCCAACTTGCAGAGCCCTAGGGTGATTTGATTCTGGAGAGGGCTACTGTGTCAATTTTCTCATTGAGTTGGGTGCCAGCTTCAGTCCTTGCCTCTTCCCCTGGGTCATGTTCTATGCACATGGGTATAGTTCAGGGAGTATTGGGATGCCCCATGATTCTTCTCCCAATCTGTGGCTTTTATTTGGGGGTGAACTCCACTTTGCCTACTCCTTTCTAATAATACTCAAAACTCCATTCCTACTATTAGGGAGAAACTTACTATCGAAAACCTAAGTCTAGATCCTACTTCCTCTGGGGGCTAGTCCTCCAGAAATTTTCTCCCTCCAAGGATTACAGGTAGACCCAGTTGTGTGGATGGATGGACACATGGTGAGAAAAGCCTTGAAAGCCACCCTTGTTTTCTTCCATCCTAGGGACCCTATGTACTTCCCTTACCAAAACTGCTACAACAAGGATTCCTCAGGAGGCTGTCAGCCCCTATAATAGTTCCATTACTGTACTGGGTTAGAAAAGGTCCAAACAAATGGAGGCTAGTGCAAGATTTGTGTCCCATCAATGAGGCCATGGTGCTATTGCATACAGTGGTCCCTAACTCCTACACTTTGTTGATCCAAATTCTAGACTTAGCCAGTTAGTTTTTGGTCCTGGATCTGAAGAATGCCTTCTTCTGTATCCCTCTGGCACCTGAGAGCCAAGATCTTTTGGCCTTTGAGAATGTCTTCACAAGACTGGGAAAACTGACCTAGACAGTTCTTCAAGGCTTTCATGATAGTCCTCACCTTTCTTTTTTTCTTCTCCATTAAGTTTCTTAGTACATTTTAGGTATGCAATATGATGACATTCATCATTGGGAATTTGTACCTTTACATGATATATCTTGGTTGTTATTTTTTTCCCCATTCCCCTGCCCTTCTTTCAACCCCTCCACCTCTTCCTATATACAAAAACTTTGTTTCCATTTTTTCCTTTTCTT